ATGCAGGTACCAGCATAATCTCAACTGAGATGAGAAAATTGAGCTCAGAGAAAGGAGTGATTTGCCCTAAATGTGACAGATGTGGACCAGCAGGGCATGGGATGGTTAGCAGCACAGGCTCCTAACCACACACTGCCCAGCCTTCAGCGAGGGATGCCCCCACTCCAAGCTCCTGGCCTTGGCTTGGCTCTTTCTTACTTGGAAAGTTTTTCCTCCATCTTAGACCTCTCTAGCCTCAGGTGGTGCCTGGAAGAGTGCTGGTGCTAACGGTGTGGGCTCGCCTTTGCCCCAGGAGGGCCTGGGCCTGCCCTGTTCGGTAGTGACCACAGACCCAGGCCTCTAGCAGACATACCTGCCTCCCGGTACTGGCCAAACACCAGGTCCGTGTTGTCCATGGCCGCAGCACTCCCCACGTGCGTCCCCTCCTCACCATAGTTGGTCATGTAGAAGGAGATCCGGCCCTGGGGGTGGAGGGGGCCCGGAGGCCAGGGTTGGGTTATGATGGGCAATGGGAGAGCCACACAAATTCCAATTGACTTCTGATGACTCCATTAATCAACAGATATTCTGGGCCAGGCCGTGCTGGGGTGGCTGCCTTCATGGGGGAGCTGTCAGGTTAGTCAGAGCCAAAGTGGTGGGGCTGTGATGGGAGGCTGTAGGAGAGACCTCAAGGGATCCTGGGAAGAAGACACACCTGGAGTGAGCAAAGGTCCCCACCTTTGTCATTGCATTTTGTGGGTGGAGGTTTCCAGGCAGAGAGAATAAAGGCTGTGAGGCCAGAGAGGCTAAGCACGCAAAGGGGTGGCAGGGAGGCAGGAGAAATGGCAGGAATAATATGTCTGAAATTTAGCCTGAGCAGCAATGATCTGACAACAGTTCTCAGGCAAGGCATGTTTTAAATGTCTGTCAGCCAAGGGCAGAGGGGGCAGTGGTCTGGCCTGGTAAGCAGCAGGAGACAGGGAGAGGAGCAGACGGATGAGGTCTTACGAAGCAGTCACTGGATAATGAAAGTGTGGGTGCAGACTCAATGGGCTAACACCCAGCTACTAAGGTGGAGCAGCTCCTTCCTGAACAAAACGGATGGAGCTAGAGGCCAGGACACTAAGGGAAGCAAGTCAGAAAGGGAAAGTTACCAGATGGTGTCAGTCATTTATGAACATAATCATCATACAAATCAGACTAACAAAACATAACAAAATAACTAATAGAAGGGGTCTCTCTGGTGGCCCAGAGGGTAAAGACTCAGCACTATCAAGCTATCTTGAGCCACTGCAGCATGAGTTCGATCCCCAGCGAGGGAGCTACCCACATGGCACAGTAGACCTCTCCTGTCTCGCCCGCTGCTCCCCTCAGCAGTGTATTTCAGTCAATGCGCCTGTTCTGCTCCCCACTCTGCCTCTGGTGAATCCTCTCAGCCCCCGCACCTCTAGCCTACACCCCAGTTCATGTATGCATAAATCTTTAAGAAAAAATAACTCATAGACTCTGAAAAATACAGTGATTGCCAGAGAAGAGAGAGCGGGGAACGGGGGTGGTGTGATGGTATGCGGGCCCTGGAGGTGGTGGAGCATGAAGGAAGAGAAGCTGTACTCCCCAAATTATAGTTATGTATACGAATGGCCAGTCAATAAAACGGATGGAAAAAAGTGCCAGTGGCAACAATGTCAGGCAGACCTTGCTGGCTAGTACACTGGTTCAATGTCCGGAGGTCCAAATCCAGAGCCTGGAAAAACCAAGCGTTCAGGTTCCCAGCCACCTTTCGGCCAGAGGCGGCTACGGACACATTTTAGTGAGAGGCTAGTGAGCGGCTTTTGTTGTCTTTGTATTTTTTTTTTTTTTTTAAGATTTATTTACGCATACAAGAACTGGGGTACAGGCCAGAGGTGGGGGGTGAAAGGACCACCAGAGACAGAGTGGGGAACAGAACAGGCAGAATGACTGAAATACACTGCTGAGGGGAGCAGCAGGCGAGTTAGGAGAGGTCTGCTGCACCATGTGGGCAGGTCCCTGGCCGGGATCGAACTCGTGCTGCAGTGGCTGCGGACTGCCCCACAGGTTGCATCTCAGCCCCTTGCGCCACCAGGGAGGCCCTGCAATTTTTGATAAAAGATCACTGCAGCTGGTGCCACCCTTCTTCCTGCCTTGCCCATAGCTGCAAAGCCTGAACCCGCAGCAGCCATCTTGGGACGATGAGGCAACAACTACAGGATGAACGCAAACTTGAAGAAAAAAAAGGTAAGCTGGGTAAAAGACGGAAGTGCTGAGCAACAGACAGAACTTCTAACTAAACTATATACCAAGACAGAGCGCATGAGGGGAGAGTGAGCGAGGGGTGAGTGGGACAGGGGTGAGATTCAGGTCTCCACTAAGGCACATGGATAGACAGCAGTATCCTGCACTGAGAAATGGCCTGAGGAGGAAGAAAGCCAGGTCTGGGAGGATGATGCTGAGGTCAAGTCTGGACAGGCTGAATTTGGTGCGGGACATCCAGGGAGAGAAGATCAGGGCTTAGAGATGAGGGCTGGCGGATCTGGAGAGTCCCTGGCACAGACACGAAAATGAGTTCCCTCGAAGCACATGTCAAGTGAAAACAGAGAGCACCTGGGTTGGCACCTGGGGGAGGCCTCTGCCCAGCCCTGTGTTCTGCAGGCCTGGCTTTTCTATTGGGGTAAAGGAACCAGATGAATAATGCTTTCTTCTAAGTGGGGAGCCAATTAAAAGTTAATTGACCTGCCAATGCCAAGTGAGTGGGTGGGTGCTGAGGGCTTTAAGGTTGGCACCAGGAGGAGCCTGAGAGGGGCCCTCTAAGGAAATGGGACCTGATTCCACCCAACAGCCTATCCCCTTTCTCTCTGCTGACAGGGATCTCATCCCACTGCAGGCAGCAACTGCCAAAACTAAAGGACTACACTTCCCAGTCTCCCTTACAGCTAGGTGGGAACAACGAACGCTGAGCAGATGTTACTGGGGGGGACCCAGAAAGTGGCAGAATGAAGACTTAGGCAGTCCTGCTCCAGGACCTGTACCCCAAATTCCTTCCCTGCCACCTTTTCAAAAGCCAGGAGTTTCTAGAGATGACCGCTGCCTGAGAATGAAGGAAGTCAAGGCCGAGAAAAGAAAATAGAAGAGCGAGAAATGAGTAATATCTTTGGGGCCCCTGGATTTAGATGTACCTGAAATGGAACCCTGGGCCCTTGTGGTGATTTGCATCCATAAGGTCCCGCTATTGATGCTTCTGACTGGTCTCTATGCGCCCACCCAGCACTGTTGGGGAGCACTGAAGATGACACGGCATTCCAGGAAGCAGAGCTCATGCTGCTTCTAGGACTGTGAGCTCCCAGAGGAAGAGCTGGCAGATCCCCACCTGCCCTCTCCCAGCACAGCTAAACCCCCAGCCTGGCACATGGTAGGAGCTTCTAGTGATCTGGTCCATCCTTCTGCCCTGGGGCAGGACCCTGCCACCCCTTTCCTCCAGAACCCCAATAAAACCCCAAGAATTCTAAGGACCTCAAGATAAAGGATCTTCATCCACTCTGTGCTCACGGGGAGCCAACCACTAATTCAAACATAGGTTGGGGAACCTCAGTCATTCCAAGCCCCATCCCCAGGCTGTCCCTGTGTACCTGCCGCTGGGACTCATAGAGGATGCGGTCCATGGTGTTGAGCAGGGTCATGCTTTTGTAGAACTTGAGCACCTTCTCCTGGGGCAGCTGCAGATGGAGGTACAGACAGACGTGGGGCAGTTGGAACCAGAGAGAAGATGGGCAAGGGGCCTGGGCATGGAAGGCAGGGGTGGGAAAGGCGGCTTCTCACTTGGGGATCCTCGCTGGGGTTGATGATCTGGCCCTGCGGTCCATGACGCGGTAGATGGGGATTCCAGAGATGACATTGGGCTGGATGAACTCTAGCTTGTCAATAAATTCCGCCGAGGCCCCTGGAAACTGGGGCTTGTCATCCAGGGATGAGAAGTGCTGTTGCTGCCTCTGGGGTGCTGGAGAGAAGATACAGGGGACACCATGTCAGAAGGGGCACCGAGGTTCTGCTGAGGTTCCAACCCCACAAGCAGGCAGCATGGCCTGCAGTTTAGCTACTACAGCCCTGGTGGTCTCTTGGGCCCTGACACATGGGGTTGGATCCTTAGGCAACTTAGTAGAACTTCTTTTTTTTTTTTAAGATTAATTTATTTATGCATACAAGAACTGGGGTACAGGCCAGAGGTGGGGGGGTTGGTGAGAGGATCCACCAGAGACAGAGTGGGGAACAGAACAGGCATATTGACTGAATATGAAGGGAGCAGCCGGTGAGTGAGGAGGTCTGCTGTGCCATGTGGGCAGCTCCCTGGCAGGGGATCAAACTCATGCTGCAGTGGCTGTGGACAGCCTCACAGGTTGCGTCTTAACCCCTTGCGCCACCAGGGAGGCCCATTAATAGAACTTCTTTATGCCTCTGTTCCTCATCGGCAAAATCGGGAGGAAAATGCAACTATCTATGCTACAGGTTGCTATGAAGAATAAGTCACTCATCAAATTTCCTTTAGTCTTACCCAGTACTTTTTTTCTTAAAGATGTATTTATTTATGCATACAAGAACTGAGGTACAGGCCAGAGGGTGGGGGTTGGGGGGGGGGGTGAGAGGATTCACCAGGGACAGAGTGGGAAGCAGAACAGGCAGATCCACTGAAATACACTGCTGAGGGGAGCAGCGGCTAACACAGGAGAGGTCTGCTGCACCATGTGGGTAGCTCCCTGGCCAGGAATCAAACTCATGCTGCAGTGGCTGTGGATAGCTTCATAGGTTGCATCTTAACCCCTTGCACCATGAGGGAGGCATCTTATCCAGTATTAAGTGGCAGGCAGCTCAAGAACTGGCAGCTATTATCATCGTCAGAGACCCAGACTTTACCCAGGCATTCAAGGCCACCCTGGTCTGACCAGATACCCCCTCTAAATCTCCCACTGTTTCCACAAGCCACCCCCACCCCCAGAAACCCTCAGGCTAATGGGCTCTTTGCTGACCCCTGTGACCCCAAGGAGGTCACCCAGCTTGGAGCTCAGATCTGTGAGCTCGAGTCAGCCCACCTGGGTCACATCCCTTTCTGGGTGACTTAGGAAGGTGACATTCTCTCTTCAAGTCTATTTTCTCACCTGTGAAACAGAAGACACCCACAGAAATGTTGTGAGGCTTAAACCATATCATGTACATGAAATGTCTAGCAGAGCGCTGTAGGTAAGCCACAGAGCAAATGCTTGAGAAGTGTGGACTCTCCTCTCAATAGAACATCTCCCTCTCACCTGGCACACCGCCCCACATGCGTCAAGGCCCTCTCCAGCCCAGGCCCAAGACTCTCATGGGTCCACACTGACTCGCTCAACAAATATTTGAGCACCTGCTTCGTTGCAAGCCCTCGGCTGGGTTCTGAGGACCTAAAGAGACAAAACATCTAACTCTGTTGCCCAGGAGGAAGACAGATGCTGAACAAGTCACGGTGTGGATCATTCCTTTCTCAGAAGCCGTGAGGCTACAGCAGAAGGGCAAAAGAGGGAGGCTTCTCTGAGGTAGCAAGGTGAGAGAGAGCTGAGACCTGAAGAATATCTAGGAGTTAAGGAAGAACATTCAAGGCCAAGGGGACAGAACAGCAAACGCAAAAGGTGAGGTCTAACATGTCCCCTGTGGAACCTGGAAGGAGTTCAGAGAAGCCAGAGCAGCCTGTGGGGAGCCTCATCTCTCCCCCAAGAGAAGGAGCAGAGAAGCAGAGGAGGCTTAGCTGAGAAAGTGTGTGAAAAGCCTACATATGCAACAGGCTGAGGCAACTGGATTTCTTAGCTCACGAGCTAGCCTTGAACTGGCCTGAGCATTGCAACAGCTCCCCTTGATGAGCATTTGCAGACAGTGCTGCCAGCACAACCTAACCACATCCTCAGAGCCTGTCTGTGAGGCGAACGTTATTTACTGTCATCATTACTTAGTATCAGCACTATCACTTAGCGTTACTTACTACTATTTACTATTGCCTTGAGTAGATGAAGACATGAGGTCCACAGAGGTCAAATAAACTCTGGGCCACAAGTCAGGACTGGGATTCAAACTTAAGCAGGGCTGACTTTGGGGCCCGAAACCTCTGCTCTAAACCCAACTGCATCCCCCTTGTCTTCATCTCTTCTTCCCACTGCTCCTCAGACTGTGCTCAGCTCAGTAATCATGTCCTCACTTCTAACAGGAGCTGAAAAAAAATGACTGGGTTTGCCGGGAGCCAGATCACAAACAGGGGTGCTCAAGGACCCTGCCCCTCACCCGCCTGCAACTGTCAGGAGGAAGCCATCCAGGCTCTAGCAGGGGGTGGGGGGGGTGTGAACACATGTGAGCGCATCTGCATTTGTGGTTGTAAGGAAATTACACTCCCAACAGCAGGGCAGGTTCAGGCGTGACTACATCGTGCAGGCTTCCAGGCAAACTCTTGCAGACCAGCTTCCCTGGCTCTATTTCTGTCTCATACACATCACAAGCTTCAGGAGGCAGGGCCCTGGTCAGGTCAGCTTACTCAGCAGGTGCGCCACAGGCACTCACTTTACTAGCAGATGAATGAGCAGTTAAGTTCACCGGCTTAGGCGTCTGGTTGGCCTGGGTTCCAATTTCTTAACCCGCTGCATGGCCCTCTGCAAATCACTTGGTCATTCTGAACTTCCTCATCTGTAAAAAGGCTGCAGAGGGTTACTGTGAGAGGCTCCTAAGATAAGGCACACAAGGGTTCAGCCAAGGACAGACTGTGTTCAAAAACCAGTAGAAGGGAAAAGTGCAAAATCTAGAAGGTGAAGAAATGGGAAGAGGGAAGTGACTGGTAAGAGGATGAGGAAAGAGGTGTTGGGGAGAAGGACTGACTGCACCTCAAACTGGATGGCAGTATCAGAGCCAGGTCCCATAGACGCTCGAGACAGAGGCAGAGGGCAGGTGCCCAGGCAACAGGATGGGGGCTGAGGTCTGGGAACGGCCCAAAAAGGGTGAGCTAGGGGCCCGCAGAGGTCAGGAGAGGATCTGATGGCTCAGAACCAACCGGGGGGTCAGGACAGGGCTCTGTCCACCTGGAAAGCTACTGTCAGGGCACCCTATGCACCCCAAACATCAGCATGGGGCCTGGCTGTGCCCCGTCTTTCTTGGGCCTGCAGAGGTGAAGGTGGTACCTAAGCCCAGGTTACTTGTGGGTTCAGTGAGCCACGTAAAGGGCTGAGCACAGCACCTGGCCCTAAGGAAACACTCCACTGTGAGAGTGGGTGATGATAAGCCTGCAGAGGAAGGATGTGACTCCACCCACTTTTTCTTCTGAGGGGAGTGAGTCTGCCTGGTGGCTGGTGACTTACAACGGCAAAGGTTACACAGAGTTACACAAAGCCTTTTAGCCACATCCTCTCCCACCGTGCAGGAAGCAGAAGCCTGTTCAGGAAGCCTGGTCTCCCTGGCAGGTACTGGTCCCCGGGGCCATTCCCTCGGACACCAAGGTTAAGGGCATGGAGCTCCCCGAGCCTGCTTCCTCCTGTGTAACCTGAAGGGGTATGAGGACAACCCACGGGTTGTCATGAGGATCAGCCAGTATGAATGCTCCAGAAATACAAGTAATTAACATGTGCATCTGTCCAGTGCTACAGTTTAAAAGGGAAATGCTGAATACTGGCCCCAGGTAAGGCCCTGAACGGAGGGTGAGAGATGACAGAGAGAGGATGACAAAACTACAGACAAGTCACATTCAAGAGGGACGATCTCAGAGGAAGCCGATTTAGTGGCTAACCACAGCGAGGGGAGGATGAGGGACCCCAAAGCTAAACTGCTTGTGTAGAATCTGGCTCTGGCCTTCCCAGCTGTGTCGCCTTGGAGGAGATACTTTGCACGAGCCTGCGTCCCCTGGTGGAGATAATGAGCATTTCAACCTCACAGTCTGTCATGGGGTGGGAATAAAGCACCTGCCATAGCCCTAAGAGGAACCTTTCATTAGCAGGCATCATATGAAGCCTCCCATCAGGAAACGCTTCCTGGACAAAGGGAGTAAAGCCCATGGGGCCTGTGGCAAGCAGGGGTAAGTCAGGGGAAGAAGCCTCAGTCCTCGGGAACAACAAAGGCTCTGAGGCAGCACGGGGCCTGGCTACTGCAGCCCTGGAGAGCGAAAGGTGCAGCCCAGTACTAACAGACTAACAGCAGCTAAGTCTCTGCCTCTGCGCTAACTGGCCCAGCACCACAGTGAGGTGAGGCAGGCCCTGTCACTACACCTCCCCAAGTCAGACATGGCCCTGAGGCTTGGAGGCATGGAGATCATCAGAAGTGATGTCAGAATCAGAAGCCAGGCTGACCACTACTGCCTGGGGAGGCAGGAGGAGGGTGGGTCCCACGTGGAAGGCTTTGTGGGTGGTGCCAGTTAGCTGTGTCCCCTGACTCTAGGATAGCTAAGGTCACCCAACCCACACTCTCCCAGGTCTAAGGCTCTCTGCCCTCAAATAGCATGCTCCCTGGTTTTGCTTCCAGCTCAGGAATGTCAGCAACTACCCTTTCTGGGAGACCGGAAGGCCTGCAAAGTGTAGAGATTAATCAGGCTTTTTCTGGCCTCAGAGTGCCTTTGCAGCACTCTGCTCCCCCAGACAGTGGAAGAAGACAGGCCTAGGGAGGCACCCTTGCCTGTGTCAATCCTGGTCACAGCAGATCTATGGTCCCTGGAGAAAACCAGCAGTTCCCTTTCTTAAGCCTAACCGAGCATACAGAATATGTAGTAAGGGCTTCTCAAGAACCACTTTCTTTACTCCTCACCCCATCTCTCTGACCCCATTTTATAGATGGAGACTGGTGTTGCTGTGGAGACTGGTAAAGCTTCTCTGAGGGTGGGGCTTGTGAGCTGACATCTGAAGAGTCATAGCCCAGGAAGGCCTCTGGGTGAGAGGGGTTCAACCAATGGAAAATGGCCAGTGGGCTGGGGTGGCTCCTCCCACCCAGCTTCCACCAGCCCTGCTAGGCTGGGCAGAGGCTGGTGACACACACCAGCGCTGGACCCCCAGAATGTTACAAGACATGAAGCAAATCCTTGGAGTCCTTCTCCTCCAGGCAGCCTGCTACAATGAAAGAAATCCAAGCTCCACAGTCAGGCCATGACAATCTGAGCCTCAGTTTCCTCACCTATAACAGAATACCACCAGTACGTGCCTTGCAGTGTGGCAGTATGAAATATTATAAGGGTGTGAGCTGGCAATGTAAACCAGAAGTGCTTCATGTTGTGATAAGAGTCCATCTTGGGGCCTTCTTGGTGGCGCAAGGAACTGGTTAAATCTCAGCACTATGTAGCTATTGCCAGCTGCCGTGTCACGGGTTCAATCCCCGGCCAGGGAGCTGAGCCACATGGCGCAGCAGACCTCTCCTGTCTTGCCTGCTGCTCCCCTCAGCAGTGTATTTCAGTAGATCCTCCTGTTCTGTTCCCCTCTCTGTCTCTGGTGAATCCTCTCACTCCCCTAGGCCCTGCACCTCTGGCCTACACCCCAGCTCTTATATGTATAAATAAAAAAATCTTTAAAAAAAAAAAAAAAAAAGCCGAGCTCCAAACAGTTAAGAGACCAGTAACCACCAGCTCCATTCGGGCCACCAGACATACTGGGCACAGACAACTTGAGGACACTGCACCGGCAATGGCATACTGACACGCGGCTCAGACAGCTGCACTGGGGAAGTAACATTACTGCTAATTTGTGAAGCTGGGTCCCCTCCATTTTGCAAGAGACTAAGAATTAGGAATAACTGAAACTTCAAACTAACTACTGAACTGCATTCCCTCTATAGGATTAACTATTAACTCTCTGAATTGTGCCCCACCCCACCCCCATTCCCTCCTTATGATTAACCGTTAACTGGCTCCAATGAACATTTCTAGAAGATTTGGGAAAACTGACTATATTTTAACCTTAATAAAAATATCTGTGCCTCTATAATATCAGAAACAAACATCTGCTGGCTGCTGAGAAAACGCTTCCTGGGAAAGTCAAACACCCTGACTTATGGCATCCAAACTCCCAGGCACATTCTCAGACCTGGAGATGTTAAGCCCCAAACTTCCGTCCCATTGCTACCTTCCTTTCCTTAACATTGCTGCTCTCCCGGCAGCTCTCCTGCCCACTTGAGACTGTGCAGGTGCCTCTCTTTTCTTTCTCCTTCTAATAAGCCTGCCATTTTAAAAGGTAAAAAAAATAAATCACTGCACTCTCACATGCAAGGAGCCAGGTGTTTTAGGGTGCCTATCCCTTGATGACCATCTCGAATAAAACTCCTTCGTGTAAAGACAATCAGATATGGCTTTCTGGATACGAGTGAAAGATGCCATTTGGTCGTTCACCATCACACCGTCCAAGCTCCAGGTGCTCCCTGACTTCAATGGGCCAGGAACTCTGTTCCCCCATTCAATAAGCTCAGAAAAATAAAGTGTCTTGGCCGAGGTCCCACCTGCTTTTTGGGGTGGTGGTTGAGAAACCAGCGAGGACTCCCTTGACAATTGAAGTTTCCTTCCTCCTCTTCTCCCTGAACCACTAAAACATCTGCTAGCAACTGGAACAGAAGGAAGGGAGGTAGAAGTCAAGCAAAACTCTGAGGCAACAGGGTGTTCAGGAAAAGGCACAGTGGAAGGGGGGTGGCGGGCAGGTACGGAGAATGCAGCCCTGGTCATCCTCCTCACCCAGTTGGCACCAACAACGCAGTCTGGCTCAATGCAGTCTCCCAACCTGCCCCCATGGCACCATTTTGTGGCTCCACCTTGATTGGCCTTGATTGCTTGTGGCTATTTAAACTTAAGCTCCTTAAAATTAAATAAAGAAAAATCGTCAGTTCCTCAGTCACACTAGCCACATTTTGAGAGCTTAATAGCAGTCAGTGGCTACTGTTCTGGATAGCACCAATATGAAATACTCTGTCTTCACAACAGTTCTGCTGGCCTATAATCTCCTGTGACTAAACGCTACCACTCCTTCCCTTCACCCCAGCCCACTGCACTAAAGTGTTTCTTTTTAATCTTAGAAAGAATAAGCTAGATAAAGTGAGAAGGAAAAAAAAGAACACAGGGACTCCAAATATATAAAAATAATGAATAGGAACTGAAAGACATCCGATCGGCCCCCCTCCCCCAAAAAATGAAGGAGAGGCAAGAGGGAAGGGCAGCAGACTGAGCCAGGAGGGAAACAGATTTAATCAGCTATAAATGACCTTTCCCTATCCCTACCCCCTCCGCCCACCTCCCGCCCCACTGGCTCAACCAATGGGCTCTTCCCACTGAGATCAGCTGGGGAGGCTCTGACTGCTCCAAAAAAAGCCACAGAGAACACACCAAAGGCAGGAGACTGCCCCACCCCCACCCTGCTCCAGCAGCTCTTCCACAATCACCTGCTTTAAGTGACTCCCTTTCTGGGTCTCTGTACCTCACTCTTGGCCCATCCTCTTGACCCCCACCTTCATCCTATTTCTCCCTACCTAGAGCTTCTTCCCTCAGATTCCAACTTCCCTTCCTAACAGACTGGGGATCAGAGGGTCTAAACCAACTGGACAGGACAGAAATCTTGACAGATTTCCTTCAGGGCCCTCACCAATACAGGCCCTTTCCCAGGGTCATCTCCTTCCTTCTCCCCATTTCCAAGGTCAGTTTCTGTCCCTTCTCTCCACCCTCATTTTCAACGGTCACAACATTCCCATTGTCCTATCATAGCCAGTTCTTATCACTTCACCGATTTCATATTCAGATCAACCCTAGTAGGGAGCCAAAGCTACCATTTCCCGGAGGGGAAAATTTAAGTCCAAAGAGGAGCAGCCCCTTGAGGAAAGGCAGAGCAGGGAAGGGTGGTCTAACTTTAGTAACCACCTGAACCACTGCTCTCACGTCTGTGACTTTTTAGTTCCTAACTCTTCTGCAGCCCACTGCCTCTCTTCCTACACAGAGGCTCCCAATTAGATTTCTGCTGCTTGCCACATTAGCAGCCTCAACCTTATTCCAAGCCTTAGAACAAGAAACGAGGTGTTTCTCAAGTGTTTCTAAGAAACAGGGGCAAAGTGCCCTGTCTGGACTTTTCTCCCTCCTCTCTCTTCTCGTTAATTCAGCCACCACTGACTATCGTCACCTCTGTAGAGTAACCAAAACAGGCACAGTCTCTGCCCTCACATTTGATGGGGTGGGGGCGGGGGGAGGGGGGTGACCAGGAAAATGACTTTTTTATGCAACTCATTTTAAAATCAGAATGTGAGCGAAGAAATACAGGGCACTATTAAAAGCCCATGACAGGAAACCTTACATCTATTTTTTTCCCCTGAAAGGGAGGTGGGAGGGAGTCCTTCATGCAGGAAAAAAATCTCTCCCTTACTAAGGCAGTTTCACTCTCCCACTTTCTCTTTCAACAGCGGCCAACATCCCTATTGCCCTTATTATACGCCAGATCCTGTTGTTAGCACTTAATTTTACTTTTTAAAAAAAAACAGATGTACTTATTTATGCATACAAGAACTGGGGTATAAGCCAGAGGTGCAGGGGGTGAGAGGATTCGCCAGAGACAGAGTGGGGAGCAGAACAGGCGGATTGACTGAAACACGCTGAGGGGCGCGGCGGGCGAGTCAGGAGAGGTCTGCCGCGCCATGTGGGTAGCTCCCTGGCTGGGGATCGAACTCGTGCTGCAGAGGCTGCGGACAGCTTCACAAAGCTGTGCTTAACCTTTGCGCCACCAGGGAAGCCCCTGATTTTACTTTTTAAATTTTTCAAATTTTATCTAATTTTCACAACAACCCTGAGAGCGGAAAGGTCGCCTTCCTCCTGGGGGCACACTGACACCTGAGGAACGGCTCTCCCTCTCTCCACATTGCCTTCCTTCTTCAGCGCCCACAAAGCAGCTGCTGTGCTTCTCCTCTCCTCAGGAAATGGAGGTTCTTCCCTTGAATGTCCTCTTCAAGTAGTTCTCCCAGTTCCTGCACAGCTTCAGTGACAAACCTTCCCCTACTCTGCAGGGGCCCACACTGAAGACAGCGATGACATGCCTACTCCCCCTTGGGGAGAGCTCCCAGTTACTCACAGATCTAGCCAACCCCCGCGCTCCGGGCCGCCGCAGGAACAGGAAGCCAGCCTGGCTCAGGACTCGACGCAGCCCCCCGACCCTCGCCGCTGCAGCTGCCACCGCCATCTTGGTTGACTACGCTAGACGGTCCGCCCCTGGCTCGGCTGGACTGGGGCTGTCCCTTGTAGTGCCTGACTCACATACCAACACCACCGTGCCAACAAGCCGCCTGATGCCAGCCATTCTGTCTCTACAACATGTATATAGGTGGAGAAAATATATGCGCTTCTCCATCAATACTCTGATGTTCTCATCGTAGTTGTTTTTGTAACAGGCAAGGAAAAGGACCACCTTTCCAGAGCCTCAGTCTTTTAGGGCCCGGGGACCTCGGGTAGGACGAGCCCCTGCCAAGGCCCGCCCTCTCTCCGCTGCTATCCAATGGCTTCCCTGAAGTTGCGGGGCGGGATGGGCGGAACCAGATTGTTAGTAAACCAGGAGCCACGTGCGACGCGGCTCCTGGCGCCCCCGCGTTCCGAATCGGCGCGTGCGCACTGAGTACACAGCCTGTACGCCAGCACGCGCTTCCGGAAAACAGCAACTGTCGGGTCTGCACGTGGGGTTGGGGGCGATGGAAGGAGCGATGCACACTGACGCCAAGATTCGCCCAGAGTCTGGGACAGAGCCGGTTGCTCGCGTCCCTGGCTGCAGCCTCCGGCATTTTGCTTGCGAACAGAACTTGCTTTCCCGGCCGGATGGCTCTGCATCTTTCCTACAAGGTAAGAACTTAACCCAGGTAAATCCGGTCCGGGTCACCTTCACCCAGGTCGTATTTATTTGGGGACGCGACTACACTGTACCATACGTAGGCGTGGCCGCCCTCTTCCACGCTAGCTGGTAGCTGTCCTTCCTGAATTGGTGTAGAACTTCTGGCCCTGGCGGATGAGAGTTTACATGTGTCTCTTCCCGTAGAAAAATAGGTGTGGCTACATCTTTTTCTTCCCAACTGGAAGGGGGAACCATATACCCACCCAGACAGATGCTCTTCATTATGAGAGACTGAGCCCACTCCCATAAGAAAATATTCGAGCAAAGGAGAAATCTCAATAGGGTAAATATCTTCCTTGAATAGATTCCCCCCCAAACCCCTTTCCACATATACCCATACAGCTCAGACTGAGACAGGCCTGTTGATTTGCCTAAATACCTCCTAGCCTTGAAGATCTCCTCTACCGACTTATTTACTTCCTAGACCTAAGTCTTTTACCTAAGTAAACATTTTCTAAATTGAGGGTGACATATACCACCAATTGTGTAACTGACCTCTTCGCTTTGTTAACTACCTCTCAACTACATTCAGCTCCTTGACCCAGTAAATACATATTCTTCTCAAATAAGTGTAAAACCCCAAACTGTACCACTCCCCTCACTAAGGCCTTACCTTCTACCTAGGTACAAAACCTGCTTTTATTCATTCCTTTGTTCAGCATACACGTATTTGTGCTGAGTACTGTTCCAGGCACTGAGAGTTCAGCAATTTAAAAAAATTAATTGCCGCATTAACAGAGTGTATATATGAAAGATAACTAAAATATATAATAAAATGCTGTGGAGAAAAATGCAGCAGTGCCAGCGAGTGTTACAGTCGTAAAAGAGATAGTGAGGGGAGCCTCAATGAGAAGGTAAGGTTTGAACAAGAATGAAAGGAAAGGGAGCAAATCCCAAAATATGGGGAGTAAAAGCATACCAGGAATGGGGAACAGAAGGCAAAGCCCCTGAGGCACAAACTGATCTGATAGATTTGAGGAAGTCAGGAAACCATGGTGGTTGAAGCAGGGAGAGGAGGTTTTGGAGGGAAATCAGAAGGCTTGCCCATCGCTGATGCCTAGTCATTGAGATGGAAACCATCAGGGTTTTGCTCAGGAGTGACATGATCTGAATGTATCTTAACAGAATCTCTTCAACTGCAGTATTGACTACAGAGGGTATAAGGAGAAAGGGAGATGGTGTTGGCTCATCCCAGCGTAGAGCAGTGGAGGTGGCGAGATTCTGGCACCCAAGCAGTTAAATAGGATGTCTAGGGGAAGGGCCTGGGCATCATAACTGTTAAGCTCCCCAGAAATTGCAATATCCAGCTCCAGTTCTAAGCCACTGTGTGCACTAACAGGCTGCAGACATGACCAGTGATCCTCTGGACTGGAATAGTAGGAAAATCCAGCATATCACAACAGTAATAGTAGTAGTTATGTTGTGAGGCATTTGTTCCATTGACACAGGCGCAGATTTGGTGAGTTTGGAGTTCTGCAGTAAAATGTATTTCATCTGCAGAGTTATGGTCAGACGCTTGAAAGCCACTACAATTGTCCAGTTTCTTCATTCTGCAGATGGTAAACAGAGGCCCAGAGAAGTGACAATCTCACAGGAGGGGATAGAGCAGGAAAGGCAGACAGGACTAAGTGCCAGATTTCTATTTGTTAGGACCCCCCTTGCCCTCTCTCATACCCATGCAAGGAAACATGCAGGAGACAGCACCCAGCCCCAGATAGTGATCCCTTTCTCAGGTGTCCTGACTGCTGCAGAGCTTGGGACAAGGGCCTGAGGAAAGACAGCTGGGAAGGAGAAGTTGAGACCAGCAGCAGTATGAGGGAAGAAGGTTAGCTCAGGAAGAACTTCCTGTTTGTACTATTACCTAAAGTCTGTCACGTACTGAGCATGCGCCAGGCCATGTCCCAAGTGTTCTACATGATTGTCACATTTCATTTTCGTGGCTCCTTGAGGGAGGTACTGTCATTGGCGCCATTTTACAGATGAGGAAACAGAGGTGGGATGTGAAGCAGGTGCTCACAGAATGACTGCCAACAAATGGTGGGCCAGAGCAGGGGTGACGTAGGGAACCCTGGCCTCTAGCTCACGCCCCCACGGGTAAGTGCTGCCCCTTGGGCACCAGGGGCAGAGAACTGTGGTGATGCCACCCATGCTGTCTCCCCAGGAGATACCTCCGTCCTGGCCGGTGTGTACGGACCAGCCGAGGTGAAGGTCAGCAAAGAGATCTTCAACAAGGCCACGCTTGAAGTGATCCTGAGGCCAAAGATCGGGCTGCCAGGTAATGAGCCCAGCTGTGTTTCCAGATGCCCTGTCTCTTGGGGCTTCTGGCCCAGCCCCTTGGCACTTCCACCCCCAGTCTCCACTCCCCTCAGATCTTTCTCTTTCCAGCTTTCTACCTCTGATTTCTGTATTTTTGTGGCTTTTCACTTTGCTTCTAACGTCTGTCTGTCTCTCTTGTGCTTTCTCTCGCCATCTCCGTCTCTGAGCCGTCCCTTCCCTCTTTTCTGGCTCCATCTCCCCTTCTTTCCCTTAACCTATTTTTCTACCCTTGTACCCTCTGTGTCCTTCTGCCCTGGGCCCACTGGCTTATAGGAACCCTTCCCTGGATTCTTTTTCCCACCCTGCCATCCCCACTTCTTTGCCAGATGCTGCAGGTGGCAGGGATGGGTACCGGTCAAGCCCTGCCTCCTTCTTGCTGAAAATCATCTGTCATCCATGCAGGCTTCCACACCAGCCTAGGCTGAGACCACAGGCCCTTCCCAGAGGGCTTGGGGGGAGCATAGAGAAGGTGGGCCAGACGGAAAGGGATAACCTGACCACCCCACTCACCCCCGATTTCCCCAGGTGTTGCGGAGAAGAGCCGGGAACGGCTGATCAGGAACACGTGTGAAGCGGTGGTTCTCGGAGCCCTTCACCCCCGAACCTCCATCACCGTGGTGCTGCAGGTTGTCAGCGATGCTGGTTCTGTATCCTTTTTGCTGGAATCCTCCTAATAACCTGCCTTGCTGCTAGTCTTGTCCACACTCTCTGCTAACCAGGAATTCTCTAAACACTTGAGAGGCACCAGCTTACTGAAGAAGAATAATGTAGCTTAAGCGCGTGCTTTGAGCCAGGTACCGTTCTGAGTGCCTTACATTAACATGGATTAATTTTATCCACCCAACACAAGAAATAGGTTTCATGATAATCCCTAGGTTTTAAGTAAGGAAATTGAGGCACCAGAAGGTCAGCTCCTATCTAGGAGGGGGCAGATCCTGAACTTGAAGCCAGACCTCTGATTCTAGAGCCCAAGGCCCCTGGCAGATGAGTGTTCTTGTGTTACCATGTTTCAGGTGAGGACACTGAGATCAGAGAGAGGAAGTCAGCTTATCCAAGATCACACAGCTGGAAGGCAGCAGAGGCAGAAATGACACCGGGCCCTGCCTGTTCCATCGGCCTCCACTCACCCTGAGCTTCACTGAGCCTCCTCACCAAGGGAGCCCTGAACAGGCAGGGCAGTGGGTCAGCAGCATGGTTAGAGAGATCCCTGTGGTTAGGGTAAGAAAGGCTGAGGCCCTGAAAGCACATTTCCAGAAGGCTGTTCTGGCATGTGGTCCTGCTTTGGCTCAGCACTTCGTACATGGGAAGAGGGAAGGACTACTGTGACACCATTTCACAACAAGGAATTAGAGTTCAAAGGGTGGGTGGTGAGGTGGGGCTGATTCTAAAGCTAGGCCCTCATCCTCTGGGAAGGGGAGACTTGAGGAAACTGCAGACCTGGAGCTGTGTGACTCCAGGTCTGGACTCCTGAGGTCAGTGATAATGACACCTCCCCTCCCCATCACCCTAGTGGCTGCCTACGAAATTCCCAGACAGTCTAATCTCTGTCTGTCTCTCTCCTGCTGTCTCCATCTCTGAGTCCTTCTGGGCCTGCCTCTGCCATCACCTTCCCATGGGCTCTTACAAGGTTTCTCTTCCACTCTGTCCTCAGTTTCCCCAAAGGTACTTGGCTCATGCTTCAGTTTGTATCTGTTGAATGTCATCATGATCCACAAGGCAGTTGAGGCTCAGAGAATAACTTACTTGCTCGGGGTCACAACAAGCTGAGAGGTGGCAAAGTCAGATCCGGAACCCAAGGTTACTCAGTTCCAGAACCAGTTAGAACTAAGCTGCCATACTCGCTTTCAGTGATTGATTAGTGATGTCTGCAACTGGCCCGTGAATGGAAGCTTGGATAAGTTCTGCGGTCCAACCCTATAGTAGAACCTCTTCTTAACCATTCCCTGTGGCACTCAGCTCCTGGCCTGTTGCCTGAACGCTGCCTGCATGGCATTGGTGGATGCTGGTGTGCCCATGCGGGCCCTCTTCTGTGGGGTTACTTGCGCCCTGGACTCTGATGGGAACCTCGTGCTGGATCCCACAACCAAGCAAGAAAAGGTAGGTTCGAAGGCCAGGTAGGTGAAAGGCTGTAAGCAGACGTTCCCCCTTTCTCTAGGCCCCACTTTTCCAAAAGAGTTAGTTCAAACTGGTAAGCCAGGCCCTTCGTCAGGGCACAGGTTAGGAACCCAGCTCAAACCCACTTAAGGAGTCTGTTGACAGTCAGTACCAGACTCAGCGTAGCTAGCTCCAGGAGCTCAAACATTTCCTCCATTTCAGCATTTTCTCACTTCATTTCTCAGCCCCTACTTTTTTCTGCATATTGGCTGCTTTCTCTCTAGCCAGTATCTTTCCTGAGGCTGCGATGGCCCCTCAAGCTCCATGCTTTCCCTCTTAAGAGGCTCAAAAGTAAAGGAGAAGAGGAGTGCACTTTCCTCATCAGCTCATGTCGATGGTGGCCTAAGGCTCTGGTTATTCTAAGTTATTTGCCCAGCACATCTAGTCAGGAAAGCAGATTGCATGCAGGAACTGGCCTTGACAATAAAGAGCAGAAAGTGTAAAAAGGCAGAGGGAGGAATACCCAGAGATTAGAAGCCCATAGCAAGCTCTGCTTTGTGCTGTTGGGGATGTGGCATTGAGTTCAGATGCACAAAGATTCTCTGGCTTTCCCATGGCTGCTGAAGTCCAGAGCCCACCCCCCTCCGTGGCCATTATGGAAACTGCCACCAGCACAGCCCCTGCCTGTGAGGATGAGGGCCAGAATGCTGCTGCTCCTCTTGCAAGGACATTTGGGAAATAGTTTGCCAGCTCCCAGCCCCAGCTCCACCTCTGCAGAGTCCGGAAGGGGGCCAAGAGGCACCTGTTAATGACCATCTCTGTGCTTGGAAGCCTCTGTCAGAACCTTGTGGTTGGAATTGTGGGGAACGATTCTAAGAAAGGAAAAGCAGAGGAAGCGGGAAAAACATAGAGAAAGTTCTCACTTAATGGCCCTCATAGTTCTTGGAAATTACAACTTTAGGTGACGTGCCCATGACAAAACAGATCCTCAAGTATACTTGTTCCACATCAGCCAGTATTTCCATTCCATTCATGCTGTAATGAAGCAATGTTATTTGCTGTGCATTTGCTACGGGAGCCACTGGCTGTAGGAGAAGCAAGTCCACCCTTAGGGCCAATCAAGATCAGGACTGAAGGTCAAGTGCCGGGTCCCCCATCTCTACCCTTCATCCTCAGGAGGCCCGGGCTGTCCTGACCTTTGCGCTCGACAGTGTGGAGAGGAAGCTGCTGATGTCCACCACCAAGGGACAGTACTCCGACGCTGAGGTAGCCCCGCGTGCCTAGCAGTGGAAAGCAGATCCCTCCCACTCCCCCGAGAGGTTGAAGGAGTCCTTTTCAGGCACTGCACATTTCCAAGTGCCCTGGCAGCCACAGTCCAGAGCCCACCCACTCCGTGGGACCGTGTGTGTGAGGGCCAGATGCAGCCATGGACACCTGGGTGGAAATTTTAAATGGAAGCTAAATGTGTGAATTGGAGGGAAAGAAATTTCAGGTTGAAATGAGGGAGGGGGCACCTGAAGCCCCCCAGCATCCAGCTCAGAGTGGTATACACCCCAGAATTCTGGGTCTCTGAAGGGACAAGGTTTAGAAACCTGGGCCCAGTGGTATCCCAAGAGCATTCCAGCCTGGCCCTCTGTGAATGTAGAAATACCAGGCAGTCAAGGTTTGGGGTCTCCAAAAAGAAAATACTCAAAAACTAAGGGACATTCATAAATGCAGTGAGGGCTCTGAAGGGAGAGGGGAGAGGAAGGGACGAGGGGATATAAAGGATGGCGATGGGGAAGAAAAAGATTTGGGGTCTCAGATGCCATGGTTTTAAAGAGTATCTGGGGCCTCCCCGGTGGCGCAGCGGTTGAGCGCTGGGTTGCGAAGCTGCCCGAAGCCTCTGCAGCGCCGGTTCGATCCCCGGCTGCTCCCCGGCCACCGGAGGAGGGTCCCACATGGCGCGCAGACCTCTCCTACCGCCCTCTGCTCCCCTCAGCAGTGTACCTCGGTCCTTCTGCCTGCTCTGCTCCCCGCTCTGGCTCTGGTGAATTCTCTCACCCTCCCTAGCTTCTGACTGTACCCAGTGCATGTATAAACAAACAAATAAATAAATAAATAAATAAAACTTGCCTCTGTAAAAAAAAAAAAATGCATAAGCATCTACAGCTTCATGGTGCTGTGGTAAAAAAAAATAAATAAATAAATAAAGAGTATCTGGAGGCACAGGGCCTATGGCTCTAAAATTCCATCTCTAATTCCATGAGGAATGGGAGCTTCTTGAGGGTGCCTGGTCCTGCTGGTGAAGTCCTGGAGCTGCCAGAATCCTATCCTCTGAGGACCTTGCATTCTATTTCTCTCTTTCCCTCAAAGAGAGAGCCCATGAAGTAAAGGGGGCCGGGAAAGGGGGGAGAAATACCCTTGGAATCATCCCCACCTGGGTCACCTTGAGAGGAGGGGGCTGGAGGTGAAGAGGCTCTGGGCATTGGGTGGGTCAGACAGGGCTGGCCAGGTGATGCGGGGGTGCAGGGCTGGGCCCCCAGCACTAACCAGCCTCTCCCTTACAGCTCCAGCAGTGCCTGGCTGCGGCTCAGGCTGCCACCCAGCACGTCTTCCGCTTCTACCGGGAATCGCTGCAGAGGCGTTACTCCAAGAGCTGATTCCTTCCCACCGCCACCACCCACCAGCTCCAGTGTAAAATAAACACATGGCCCAGCCTAGCCAGCCTGCCCTGTGTCCTGCCTACCCGGAAAGCTTGACCACAGCCCTGACCCTGGGGCACAAGCCTCCTCCCCCAGAACACTGAGGATCGCCCATCCACTGGCTCCATTCATACTAACAAATGCCCGTTGAGCACCCACGTGTGTGAGCACTCCTAGATGCTGGGACCCAACAGTGAAGGAGACCCAGGCCCCATGCTCAAGGAACCATGAGGGGCTGGGCAAAGAAAATAATGTATAGCAGATAGTGGCAGTTGCAGGGGGGGTGGGGGGCAGGGAAGAGGGCTTGGAAGAGTTAGTTAGGAGAGGGCAAATTTACATTAATTGTGGTCTCCTGGAGGGAAGGGGGACATCAGAGGGAAACCCAGGAGGAGGCCAGGGAGTGAGGTCATGGATGTAGGGCTATGTGGGGGCAGAGGCCTGCGGTTTGGCATGGGGTATGGGTTAAGGAACAGCCCAGGCAGAGCAAGTGAGGGCCAGAGAGGGAAAAGGTGGCCCGGAAGGGAATGTCACTGCAGGTAGGAGCCTGGTTCTGAGCCCTGCTTCCATGCACAAAACCCTGTGAGCTGGGGCCGTTGCTGCTGGCCCTTTTTAACATGAGGAAACAAGGTCACAAGCCAGTTAGCTGCCATGGTCACCTGCTAGTGAGTGGTGGGGCAAGGGTCCCACTCGGAGCCCAGCCCCCAAGCTATTACTTACAGTTAGCCCCTGGAGGCTGGTGGCACAAGGGATTATTAAGATGCAGCAGCCTATGAAAATTATCTGCAGCCACTGCAGCACAAGTTCAATCCCTGGCCAGGTTGCTACCCACATGGTGCAGTAGACCTTTGGCTTGAAGTGGTGCTCCATGAGCAGCTCAAGGAAGCAGCAAATGGCAAGTAGTATTTTTTTCTGGGAAGGGCTGTTGGAATAGCACTAAACAGACACTGCCCGTCACTCTGTTACTTGGTGACGTCAGGCCCCATGGACAGCACCTCCCAGGTGGCCATTGTGTTGATGCCATAAAGCTCCATCTCTGTCCTCATCTCGGACTATTGAACGGGGCTGCCACAGCTCAGGGAAGCCAACGAGAGGGCACCTCTAGATGGTACCTGAGCTGTTGGGGCCATTTTCTCCCCCAGACCAGGGATTCTACACAAGCCAACAGGAAAGGTAAGGGTGGGGCAACCAGTGGAGACTAGGCTGTTCAGTTGAGCCCCTGAATTCAGTTCTGCCTCTGCTGCTTCATTCTGTTGCATAAAGCAGTCAGCATTCTGTTTGTGGCCCCTGGAACAGAAAGAGCTCAGACAGGCTGCTGTTTACCTATATAATCCACCCATTTGGTCCTCACCACAGTTCTGAGGTGTGGAGAACCTTGGTCCCATTTTGCAAATGAGAAAAGAGTCTCAGAGAAGTCACTGTGGGCAGTTAATGTGAAGGAGGACTAAAGACTGGGTACTCAACTCAAATTCTTGACTGACTCCTCTTCCCTGCCTTTGAGATCCCCCCTTCTCCAGCTCCAAAGTAACAGCTTGGAACACTGGCCCATCCCTTGCTGGTCTCAGGCACCCCCAGCCCCTTCCACCTTCCCCCACACACGGACAGACACGGGTTTGGCTACGAGAGTGCCTGATGTTTAATCTCATGTTTCACCTGCGATGGGGGAGAGGGGTGGTCCAGCTGGCCCCAGTTCTGGATGCAGCTGTCGCTACCGCCTCCTCATCCACCCCAAGTCTCCACTCTGCCCTGGGCTGCCGGCCTCTGGGTTCACGGAGCTGCTGGGGCAGCTAGGGTGGGTCTCGGGAGGCAAGGTAGGCAGCCAGAGTCACCAGGGCCGCTGCGTATGTGCACACGCCCAGCCCCACAGCCAGGACCCCCAGCAGGAAGGCACGGCGGGAGGCAGCCCCTGCCCCCTGGATGTCCCCGTTGGCCCAGGCCTTGTTGGTCTGCGGAGGCATTGACAGTGGTGATCCAAGCATCCCTCAACCCATCCTGCTTCCTTCCACCCTAGCCCGCCCCCATGGACACACCCATATATTCACTCATATTCCCAAAACAGGGAGTGCCATGGTTGGGCACTGGGGATACTGAGTGACGAGGAGAATTATACATATATCGCTGTATGCCCCTGTCCTGACTCATCTGACGCAGTGATCCCATGGCAGCATTACTCCCAATTGACAGGAGGAAAACGAGGCCGTGGGGAGGTTAAGTGGCTTGCCCCAGATCTTCAGCATGCACAAATTCATCACCTTTCAGGGCTACCCCTGTGAAAACCCCCTTTTGCAACACTGAATGTTGCTAAGGGGTTCCTCCTCCTCATCTTTCCCTGAGGCTGGCCCCTCCGCTTTGTTTCCTTTGGTTTGGTTGCTTTTTTCCTCTTATATATACAATCCCCTCCCAGCCACACACACACAGACTGACCTTCTGGGCCAGGCAAAAGGCAGCGATGCCCAGGGGCCAGAAACAGCACAGCATGGAGAAGACAGCCAAGCCGAGGTGGTCGTGGGGTAGGAGCGGGGAGAGGAGGCCACCCCCATCCCAGTCTGAGTCGCTGTCACTGGATGATGTGTCCTGTGGGCAGAGACAACTGGTTGGTCCTTTCCACCCGGCCCTATCCCACTGTTCTGCTCCCCCCCCTGCCCCCAAAGACCAGTACTAGGGTCCCCCTGGACACCCCAAGAGAAAAAAATTCTAAGAGCTAGGCCCTTGACTTTTCTATATCCTGGATACTTTTGAGAGGAGCCTGTGAACCCTGCCTCTGGAGAAAAGCCCCAGCCCCACCTGAAGTTTTTGAATTTAGTTTCAGGGTGTTCCCAGGTCCAGTCACGGGTACTGCTCTTGCCTGCAATCTGAGTTACAAGCCCTTGATGTGGATGCAGACACTATAGAGCACAGGAACCCGCAATAAGGAGATTAGGGGAGACAGGCCAAAATAACTGCAGCCTGCCTCTAAGGAACCTACCTGTTGAAGCGGTATGTTCTAGGTAATTTTATTTTTTAATCTTTATCAAGTAGCTCACAAGAGTGCCTCAGCTTACAGAAGCCAGCCAAATATTCTTTGGAAGACGATACCTGCATTCTAGGCCTCAATAAATTTTTCCTCAAAACAATGTTTTAAATACAATGATCAGCATGCAAAGGCAACCAGGTATTCAGGGAACCACATATGAAAACTAACAGAGATAAAACCCTCAAAGTCTTCAAAACATGGGCTTTTAGATATATCCAGTGTCAAAGTGAAGCTTCCTGCCACCAGGTAGCAGACACTTCAAAAACAATGGCCAAAACAGTCTCTCCCATCCCGCCTGTTTTTACAGTGTGAGTCCAATACTCTGTTGGGGTGAGGTCTGTGTCCCCTTTCCTTGAATAGGGCAGTCTGTGGCTCACTCCTGGTTGACAGAATGTGGTACTATTCTGTCACAAGACTTTTAAGCCAAAGTCAAATGGTTGGGCGGGTTCTTTGCTGAAACACTCATGCTGAAGGTGTCTGACTGCCCTGAAGCCACCATGACGTGAGGAAGCCCAAACCAGCCCACATGGAGAGACCACGTGGAAGCCCCAAGACTACATGGAGATGCCCAGCCCCTGACTGCTCCAGCTCTAGCCTCTGGCCAAGTGCTACCTCATAAAAGACCCTGAGGCAGAATGCCTGACTCACAGAAACCATGCAAGGTGATGACTGCTGGCATAAGCTACTAAATGTTGCAGTGGTTTCATATCCTGCAATAGTAACCAAAAAACCTGTTTAAGAAATAAAAGGGGGCCTCCCCAGTGGCACAGCGGTTGAGCGCTGGGTTGCGAAGCTGCCCGCAGCCCCTGCAGCGCCAGTTCGATCCCCGGCTGCTCCCCGGCCACCAGAGGAGGGTCCCACATGGCGCGCAGACCTCTCCTGCCGCCCGCTGCTCCCCTCAGCAGTGTACTTCGGTCCTTCTGCCTGCTCTGCTCCCCGCTCTTGTGAATTCTCTCACACTCCTGCACTTCTGAATGTACCCCGTGCATGTACAAATAAACAAAACAAACAAATAAACAAATAACTAAAAACATGCCTCTATTAAAAAATAAATAACTACATTTAAAAAAAAAAAGAAATAAAAGGGGCCTCTGGTGGCACAGAGGTTAAAGTCTCAACACCATCAAGCTGTCACCTGCCACTGCAGCATGAGTTTGATCCCCAGCCAGGGAGCTGACCCACATGGCGCAGCAGACCTTTCCTCTCTCACCCACTGCTCCTCTCAGCAGTGTATTTCAGCCGATCCGCCTGTTCTGTTCCCCACTCTGTCTCTGGTGGGTCCTCTCACCATCCCCCACCTCTGGCCTACACCCTAATTCTTGTATGCATAAATAAGTAAATCTTTTAAAAAACAAAACTTCAGGGGACCCAGCTAAAAAGGGCCCCCACCATAGATTAAAAATATGTGCAAGGAATTATAGAAAGTAATACTAATTTGGGGGGCCTTCCCTGGTGGCGCAGGCAGTTGAGCACAGTGCTGTGAAACTGTCCACAGCCTCTGCAGCACCGGTTTTCCATCCTGGCCGGCCGGCGAGAATCCCACATGGCGCGGCAGACCTCTCCTGTCTCGCCCGCTGCTCCCCTCAGCAGTGTATTTCAGTCAGTCTGCCAGTTCTGTTCCCCACTCTGTCTCTGGTAGATCCTCTCACCCTCCCGCACATCTGGCCTGTACCCTGGTTCTTATATGCATGAATAAATAAATCTTTAAAAGAAAAAAAGTAATACTAATTTGCAGGGAGAAACAAGACTGACAACAGTCAGAGGTACATCAGCTTTGGGGAGAGAGTGATGGGGAGAGAACGGGGGTGTCAGATACCAGAGGGGAGACAAAGGGCCAAAGGGAGGGAATGAAGATGAGAGGCAGAGAAAAAAGTAAAGGAGCCAGGGGGAATGGAGGACAGTGGAAAAAAGGAAAAGTGGAGTGAGTCTAAGCTAGAGGCAGATTCCCTAGCAGCTAGCCTGCCGATGTTGACCACAGCTGGACTCCCTAGCCCCTTTCTCCTACCTCGGGGTCTGGGTGCCCTGGCTCCCCCAGGCCAGCGCTCACAGATGGAAGTGATGGTAGGAACGGCCAAGCCCTCGGCGACTCAGCAAAGGCTGTCTCCCGGAGAGGGGGGCCTGGCTCACGCTCACCAGGGTTCTGGACAGGAGGCTCACGGCCTGCACCTGCCAGCAGAGGCTTCTGGAGCTCTGGAAGACTGCAGCTGTCCATGACTGGGGAGAGGTTCCCAGAGGATTTCCTGGGGGCAAAGGAAAAGAAAAGGCAAGGTATCAGAAGTCTCACTTTCCTCCTCTGACTCCTGCAGAAGAGGCTCTAGGCAGAGACTTGCCTGATCAGTGACCCTCACACCCATTTAGTTCCAGGCTTTTCCTCAGGCAAAAACCAAGTCTATTGCTTACTCCAGACCATTGGAAGCTGCCCCTGGGCTATACCTGTCCACCCCTCCCCCAGCCCCATCCTCAGTGACCCTTCATCCTTAGCTCCAGCCTGCACACCCTCTGTGCATACCCCACCGTGCACACACTGAATGCCCAAGTCCCCTGCCACACCCACCCACTGAGGCAGGCTGCACCCCCACATAAGGGACTCCTTGCACACTTCGCCCAAACAACATGAGCTCCCAGAAGACACCCCTCTGGAGCCCCCAATTTTCATACCAACACTCATTCCAAGTGACTTCTTGCACACTCCTAATTGCGCCCCCACTCTCCCCTCCCCATTCAGATCTCCACATTTGCACACATATTCACAGGTTTCTCACAAAAGCACCTGACACACTCCCCTTTTTCCATCATTCCCTTGCACATCTGCTCCCAAAGCCAGTCCAGCATCCCTCCCCTACTCCACCCACAGCTCCCTAAGCACCAGCAGTGAATTCACCTTTACAGACACCTCCATAACATCCCCAACCCATCACACCACAGAGGTGCACCTTCAACTCAACCAAAAAGGAATGGTCTCACCCTTCGATCCCCACGCAAGCCTCCTGCCCTCAATCCTGCCCTGGCTAGAGCCGGTTTCCTCATCAAAGGCTTGCCTCCCCATCCCCAGATAGAGGCGGTGCTCCCCAACTCTCACTCACCAACCCTCAGGCAGAGGGACCTCCTTAGCCCCCTGCACCAACACCCGCCTCAACCCTGCTTCCCGTCAGTAGTGGGGGCTCAATGAGCTTGGCGCTCCCTGGCGACCCCGGCCTGTGGGGCGCTGGATCTGCACTCGGTTACCCACCCCCGAAGGCCCCCACCTGCCGCCCGCAGAGCGCGGGGGCGGAGATGGGGGCGGGGCGAGCCCCGCCCTCTGCTAACCCGGGAGAGGGCCTTGGCGGCCGTGTCTGCCACCCCGGGCGTGCGAGTACAAGCGGGGGTCCCTAATCTCTGAGGACACTCGACCTTGCACGCGCAACGGGGCGGAGAAGGGGACCCCCACCCCATTCTCCAGGGCCTTGCTGGCTTGGCCCCGCCTACACACACACATACAGACACACACACTAACAACGGCAGCCAGGGCTAACAGGTGACTGTTCCAAAGCTCTGCATGTACACGTACGCATTTATTCCTGGCACAGCCTGAGACGCAGGAGCCTTCCCTGTCCTGTTGCACTGGAGGAAACTGGCGCAGAGAGGCGAGGTAATCGGCTAAGCGTGCGGCTGCTCACCAAGCGCGGACTCTCCGGCCCAGTATCGGATACTCCTCACATCGCTTTCTCTAAGGAGCTCTATTTCTATCCCTAGTTTGCAGATAAAGAAATTGAAGCTCACCTGGCCGAAGCAAACAACCTGTGCTGGACCCCGCGGATGGTAACCCAGGACAGCAGTCCTCACCTGCCAGCCCAGGCAGAACCTGGGGGTGGGGGTGGGGGGGGGAGGCAGTGGTGGGATGACGCACTGATGCTCAGGAGGTACAGGTAGAGGTTAGGAGTCAGTGTTTGGACCCACACTGACCTGAATTCCTTTCCAGGATGTTCAAGATATTTGCTGTGTGACCTCTGGGCAGTGGCATCCTCTGTCTGAACCCTGATTACTTTACCGCGTGAAATGGGGTCAATTTCCTGTTTCCTAGGTGTGATAAGATAAAGCACTTAGGTAACATTCAGCAACAAGTGTCCAACATTTACCCAAAGTCTGCCAAAGTAGCACTGTTTGGTGGTGCTTGTTTTATCCTCTACATCCACCTCCATCAGTCCCTATTAGGGGACTCTCCTCTTCCTGCAGGCCTCCACCTCCTCCAGGGGGCCCACCCTGCTGGCACTGGCTTCACCTTCCCAGTAGCCCTTCATCTCACCAGTCCATCATAGAACCTAGAGGACTCCCCTCCTGATGTGGGGTGGCCCAGAGTTCCCTTGCTCCTGGGCTCTGTGCCAAGAGCCAGAAGCTGGAGTTGGCACGGGTCCCACTCCCAGAGAGAACAGATGGTGACCGTGAGTGCACTTGGTACAGCCAGACAACAGGCAAGCAGGGAGACCCAGAGGAAGGCAGCTGAGCGGCAGAGGAAGCAGGATTGTTGTACCTGGGGCGCTGCCCTGTTACTCCCCATCCCCTTCACCTCACTCACTGATTGTTGTGTACCACGTATCAGTGTGAAACAGATGCATTTCTGTCCTTTGTACTTTAAATCTTCCTATATCAGTGTCAGCTCCAGGAGGGCTGGGATTTGAGCTCTTGTTTTCACTGCTGTGCCTCCTGCGCTAGAACAGTGCCTGGCATAAACCGTTGATACCTATTTGTGGGATGGGGGCATGCATTCCCACCAGCCTCAGTGTTTCACCAAAGCCCTGAGTTCTGGGCCTCCCCTGGTGGTGCAGGCAGTTGAGTGTAGCACTGTGTGGCTGTCTGCATCCTCTGCAGCGCCAGTTTGATCCCGGCTGGCTAGCAAGGGTCCCACATGACACAGCAGACCTCTCCTGTCATGCCCGCTGCTCCCCTCGGCAGTGTATTTCATCAGTCTGCCTGTTCAGTTCCCCGCTCTGTCTCTGGTGAATCCTCTCACCCTCCCGCACATCTCGCCTGTACCCCACTTCTTGTATAAATAAATAAATCTTAAAAAAAAAAAAAGCCGAGTTCTATGGGTACTTTTGTCTCCCTTGCCCTCCCTAGAGATTCAGTGACTTCCAGTTAGATCTCTCTGGTCGCCATCAGACTTGTGCAGTCTCCCCAGCTTCACCCCTTCCATGGAATGACAATCCGGGAGCATGAAACACCAGACTGCAGCCAGGATCATCAATGGAGGCTTGAAACACTGATTTTATGAGAAGCAGAATGTTTCTGGATGTGGCACCAGGCAGTAAGAAGCTCTTGTCACCCACAGCCATGCTGTGCAAGGGCCTGCAGCGGTCCGGTAGGTGGTTTGGATGTAAGAAGAGGGCTATAGTCATGGCCCACTGCAAATGGGGCCACGGCCTCCTCACGGCACTGGAGGCCACAGGAGATGATGGAGCCTTGTGCACTACACTACCAGCCATTCTGACCTGTTTTGCTTCTGGGCAAGAAGCAATTCACCTGCATGGACATCCAAGCCAGTGGGTAGGAAGGTGGTTATATGGCCCAGCTTTATGCAACTAGCCAGTCCATCTCCAAAGCCCTGGTGGCCTATTAATAGGAATACACGGATGAGGCTCCCAAGGTGATCGATCAAAGATATCCTTATCAAGTATGAGCCGACCCTGCTGGTGGCCGATCCCCCATTACTGCCAATCAGAAAAATTCCGAGGCCCTGAAATCTATACTCACTACCAGAAGTCCTACCGATACGCCCATCATACGCATCCAGGTTTATAACAAACACTGGTTGTGGGATGTTAAGGTTTTTAAAAAAGGAACGGGATATTTATTAGTCTTAAGTAACTTCCCACAGATTACTTGTTTATTACAAAGGGGGAAAATAGTATTAATGGCAAAGACTGCCAGGTATCACCATAAACGGGTGGTAGAAGTTAACATCGCAGTCATGGGACAAGCTGACATCAGTGCCTCCTGATCTGTCCTGAGAAAGACCTCGACATCATTTCTGTGGTTTCCCTGCCCAAAATGCATCATCTGAATCTCATCATGACAAAACACAAGACAAAGCCAAGTAGCTGGCCTATACTTTTCAAAAAATGTCAGTGTCATGAAAACCAAAACAATAACAACAACAAAAAATTTTTTGTAAGCAGCAGGCCCGTTCTAGATTAGAGGTGACTGAAGAAACATGATGAGTGAAACACAAAGTATGATCCTGGATGTTGGGAAGATACTGACCAAGCATGCTGTTGGGACATATGTAAACTATAAATCAAAGGACATTTTGTATAGTGTTCAATTGACACTGTTGAAAATGTTAAATTGGTTATATAAGAGATTTCTCGTGTTCTCAGGAGGATTTTACTTTTAAAAATAATAAATTATGGGGGCCTCCCTGGTGGCACAGAGGGTTGAGCACAGCACTGTGAAGCAATCCACAGCCTCTGCTGCACAAGTTGGATCCCCGACCGGCCAGGGAGAAACCCATATGGCACAGCAGACCTCTCCTGCCTTGCCCACTGCTCCCCTCAGCAGTGTACTTCGGTCAATCTGCCTGTTCTGTTCCCCACTCTGTCTCTGGTGGATCCTCTCACCCCCCACACCTCTGGCCTGTACCCCAGCTCTTGTATGCATAGATAAATAAATCTTTAAAAAATAATAATAATAAATTATGAATAGGGACATAGAGGTGTGTGTGTACATACAGATACATGTGTACATACAGATGTGTATGTACATATAGATGTGTTTATGTAATGAACACTATTACTGTTAATGCGTGTGTTTGTGTGTGTGTATGTGTGTATTTATGTGTGTGTAGAACTGGGCCAGGGGTTAAGTTTCAGCACTATCACCACTAAGGCCTGAGTTGACCTTAAAACATACCAAATCGGAATGCTCTACTTTTAGATAGCGGGAAAACCTCTGTACATACATATACATACATACCTACATATTCTTATAGGTATGTATGTATATATACATGTAAAATAATTGTGTGTATGTGTATGTGTAAAATAATTGTATGTATATTTATATATATACATAGGCAAAATAATTGAACAAAAACTTCACAAAGGAGGAAATTCAAAATAATCATGAACATTAAAAAAGACAATCAACTAGTCATCGGAAAAATACACATTAAAATCAAAATGAAAATAAAATAAAAATGCCACCAGAATGATTCAAATGATAAAGAACACTAAATGTTGGTGAGGGGTGGAGGAGAGGAGTACAAATTGGTCCAACCACCACAACTGTTAGTCAGTGTTGTAGCTGAACATCTATCACCCTGCAGTTCCATCCCAACCAGACGCAAACACATCTGGCCACCAAAAGACAAATGCTCCAAAACATATGGATTAGAGGTGACTAAACAGGAAAGACAAAGAAATATTGACAGCCACATGCAACAGCATGGATTAATTCCACAAAAACATTGAGCAAAAAACAGCAGACACCATCAATCTATACTGTGTAATTTCATTTATATAAAGTACATTACCAGGCAAAATTAATCCATGTTGGGCCTCTCTGGTGATGCAGGGGTTAAATCTCAGCACTATCAAGCTATACTCAGCCATAAGTTCGATCCTTGGCCAGGGAGCCAACCCACGTGGTGCAGTGGACCTCTCCTGTCTCATCCTCTGCTCCCCTCAGCAGTGTACTTCAGTAGATCCCCCTGTTCTGCTCCCCACTCTATCTCTGGTGAATTCTCTCACCCCTGCACCTCTGGCCTACACCCCAATTCTTGTATTCATAAATAAATCTTTAAATAAAATAAATCCATGTTGTTAGAATCCCAGAGTGGTTATCCTCAGGTGCAACCTGGGCCCCTGATGGTCATGTTCTTGAGCAGAGTTTTGGTTTGGAGACATATTTAATGAAATTTAATCCAGCAGTTCAGTTATGATCTGTGCACTTCAAAAGAGTTAGTTTGGATAAAGAATGTGTCAGATCTTTATACACTAATATGAATAAATTCCAAGATGCATCACTCAGTGAAAAAAGTGTACATACTGTAACAGTCACTATGGAAAACAGTAAGGTGGTTCCTCAATAAACTTGAAATAGAATTACCATATATGACCCAGCAATTCCCCTTCTGAGTATACTTCTGAGTACGTACCCAGAAGAACTGAAAGCAGGGACTTGAGAGATTTGCACACCCATTTTCATAGTAGCAATACTCCCAACAGCCAGCAGGTGGAAGTAGCCCAAGTATCCATTAATAGGTGACTGGATAAAAAAAATGGACTATTATTCAGCCTTAAAAAGGAAGGAACGGGCCTCCCCGATGGCGCAGCAGTTGAGCACTGGGTTGCGAAGCTGCCCGCAGCCTCTGTAGCACCGGTTCGATCCCCGGCCACCAGGCAAGGGTCCCACATGGTGCGCAGACCTCTCCTGCCGCCTGCTGCTCCCCTCAGCAGTGTACATCAGTCCTTCTGCCTGTTCTGCTCTCCTCTCTGGCTCTGGTGAATTCTCTCACCCTCCCGCCTTCTGACTGTACCCAGTGCTTGTATAAATAAATAAATAAATCTTAAAAATAAAAAAAAATAAAGATCTTGCCAAACCTTAAAAAAAAAAGGTAGGAACTTTTTGAGGAGAAGAAGCAAACACAAAGTAGGGCACAATGGACTACGGCGATGGACTATAGGTGCTTTGGTGGCGGGAATACTATGGTTACAGCACTGGAAGAGGGGAGTATTGCCAAAATGCAAAGAACTATGTTTATCAACCTTAGCTCAATATAAATTTTAAAAGTAAATCTAAACGTGCAATTTAAAGTAGGTTTGAATTTTGAAAACCACTTAAAAATCCCATGTAGTTTCCTTCAGATACTTTCTTACTCCAAATTGTCCCATATTTTCATACTACCAAAATATGTCCTCTAGCAAAGCATCGATTATACACAAATATAAGTCAATTTGATCATGCACAGCTATATCGCATTTACCTAATTGCACAGCTGAGCAGAAACTGGAGTCTAAATACTTTGTCTAGCCATTTCGCATTGACTTCACCTAACACTAAAGAGTCACAAGATACCCAGCGCTGGCAACAGTGGAGCCGCTGTGTTATAAGTTTAGATGTAACATTGCCATTTTAAAAAATGAAGTACTGGGGCCTCCCTGGTGGCACAAAAAGTTAAGATGCAACCTATAAAGCTAGCCACAGCCACTGCAGCACAAGTTCAATCCCCGACCAGGGAGATACCCACATGGCACAGCAGACCTCTCCTGACTCGGCCGCTGCTCCCCTCAGCAGAGTATTTCAGTCAATCTGACTGTTCTGTTCCCCACTCTGTCTCTGGTGAATCCTATCAGCCCTCACATCTCTGGCCTGTACCCCAGTTCTTGTATGTATAAATAAATAAATTTTTTTTAAAAATGAAGTACTTTGATTAAAAGTAAGGATCAGCCCGGCAAAACTGAGGGCAGAAGAGGTCATTTAAAAAATTTTGTCCAGAACAGCAAGGGGAACAAAAGCAAAAGCCCCCGTTTTGCTAAAATGTAAGGGAGTAAACTCCTATCGGCCCCTGGGCTGGAGGAAGGAGGGACCGTGCTGAGCGGGTGGGGCAGGCGCTGCTCTGGCCGGTGCCCATTGCACGGACGAGACGACTGACACCCACAGCCGCGCAGTCACAAGAGGAACGCCTGGCCGAATGCAATCTGCAAGGCCCAGGTTTTCTGCAGATAAAGAGGCTTCAGTTCCTCATTTCTCATACTTCTCCCTGCCTTGCTCAGAACCAGCACGAACAGCAAAGAAGCGGGCAGTAATTCTGAGAAGGAAGTCGGATTTATCGGTCGCTGAACCCTCAAAAAGGGGAAGGAAACCCCCGCCCCAACTTCTCGAGCCTGCCTAAGGGAGGGTTATTTCCCGCCCCCCGCCCCCAGTTATGAGGCAGGGGGATGCACACAATGACTTGAAGGGGATGCCCCCCTTAGCCCTGGCGCAAGTGTCTGAGTGGTGGTCCCGGAACGGGAAGGCGTTTGGGATGGGGGGAGGGACGTAAGCCTGGAGTGTAGATGGATCTGCTTCGAGGTACCTGGGAGAAACAGCGATCAAACTTCCTCAGCCACACTCAAGATGGCAGCCGCCCAGCCACGCCCCAAATGGCGCGACCGTGGGTCGTGGCGGGAGAGACGCGTTCCTCAAAATGGAGCGTGGCGGAGAGAAAATGTCCATCACGGCCAGCCCCGCCCCGAGCGGGCGGCCAGGGCCAATCAGCTGGCGGGGTTCAAGCAGCGGTTGGGGGGGGGCTCCTGTTGCCCTAGCAACCACCAAGGAGCCCGAGGCGGGCGAGGCTTCGGAAGGCTCGGAGCCTCCGCTCTCGCTGCTGGGGCGGGCTGGGAGAGGCGCGGGCCAGGCCCGGAGAGCCGGCGCCCGCGGAGAGCGTCAGTCAGACTCATGCGCTACCGCTCCTGCGGCGGCTTCCGCTCTTCCTAACCGTTAGGAGCGCCGAGGTAGGAAAAACGCATGTGCGGCCCTAGGGGCGGGGCCAAGGCGGCCCTACACTTCGACGCATGCGCCTCATGGAGCTGGGCGGGGCCGACGGGGCGGGGCCTTGTGCTTGTGGGTGGAGTCATCGGTCCCTGGGGCGGGGTTTGCGCGGCGCTGGGACGGAGGAAGTGGGCTGCTCAGCTCAGCCTCCCTCCCAGGGGCTCTCCTGGGCGGGCAATTAAGATCATGCTTAAAACCGCAAACTTCCATGGTTTGTCGAAACCAGCGTGGGGTCCCAGCACAGCTCCTTACTTGGCGAGCCTCAGTTTCACCATCCTTCAGATGGAGATAATGATACACTTCCCTCACAGGGCTGTCATTATATTTTCCCCCTCGCAGGGCCATGGCTGAGGTGCACGTGATTGGTCAAATCATGGGGGCCACCGGTTTCTCGGAAAGTAGCCTCTTCTGCAAGTGGGGCGTCCACACAGGTATTCCGGAATCTGATTCATTTCCCCTCTGCCTGCTCCTTGATCCCTCACCCAGTCCCTGAGCCTCCTCTTCCATGGGCACTCAGAACTCTCAGTCGGACCACACTGGCCGCGGGAGTCTGAGGCTCCCTTCTTACCCCTTCCAGTCTCTGGGGGCTCTGACTCCCACAGTCTGAATACACAGTTCCTAGGAACATGAGACTCCATGAGGCTAGCCACAAACATTCCCAATCCTCAAAGCTAACACTAATCCTTCACTGTTTGGACTTTATTCACTGTCGTATGAGTGTCCTGGATCCCTCCCAGATCTTATTAATTCTTTGCTTAATAGTCTCCATTTATTGAGTTCTTACTATATGTAAAATGGAAGTTTTAATCCCAGATTTACAGAGGTGAAGCCATCCTCTATTCATAATTCTCCGTGAGAAGGTAGGAACCCCGTTTTGTTAATCCAAATGGTAGATCCTGGACACACACCTCAGAGGCCCCAGTTGTCAAGCCTCCCCTCAGGAGCAGTATAGTGTGGTGGTACAGTGTAGTGGTTGGGGCACAGGCTACTAGATCTAGGCCCATATACTAACTCACCCACTTATTTAGTAGGGGGAGGTCTTTGGACTTGACCTCTTCAGCCCTCAGTTTCCTTGCCCAAAAAGGAAGCTAATAGCATCTCAGAGGCAGCAGAGCTGAGGTAGAGTGCAGACAGCCTGAGTTCAAAACCTGCTGTTGCTTATTAATTATGTGACCTTGGGCACTTGTGTGTGCCTCAGTTTTCTGGTCTCTACAATGGGAATATTAACAATATTTATCTCTTGGGATCATTGCTCAGCAAGTGCTCCATAAGGGCATGCCTGGCTTGTGTAACCTGGATGGAGTTTTTTGGGTAAGGCCCCGGTATGTTGCCTCGCACAGAGGAACATCCAGGAAACAAGTGTGGGTACCGCCATTATCTCTTCAGGCCCTGGGTCCTTTGTGATTTCACTGGTGGGTAGGTGGGTGGTTGTGATTCCTGGGGAATTTGGGATCCTTTGGTTGAGTAAATAATAGGGAAAAAAAAAATGGTTTCTAGTCTGGATCCTGTCTCTCACCTGCTCTGTTTGACCCTAGGCAGGAATGGTCCCTTCTGGGAGCCTCGGTTTTCTCATATGTAAAATGGAATCATTGTCCTTCTTAGGGCCATTGGGATATCTTGTATGTGAAGATCCTGATTGGGAGCTTGGTATTTTCCTCATCTGACCCAGAAGGAATAGTAACTTACATGACTTACTGTTTCAGCAGGATGAGGGTAGGGGGCCTTAATCCAGCAGAGAGCACACAGGGCTTGGGTAAAGGACTTGGGCTCTGCACTTACACGGATCCCAGTTTGAATCTAGCTCAGTTTATGGAAACTTGGTCTACAGTACCCCAGCACTGAGAACATTGCTTGGCTAACAGGAGGTGTTCAATCCATGTTTATGGGATGAACAGCCAAGTGACTTTCATTCTCAGAGGCTGTTGTTTTACCTGTCAGTTGGGTGTCCGATTAGCACCCACCACCTAGGGTCACTTGTGCAACATTTACTGAGTACTTTCTGTGTCTCAAAAGTGGGGCTTGAAGTTCAGGGGATCCAGCTAAGTACAAGATCCCTACTTTGCTGGGACTCACAGGAGGAGAGAAAAATTTGAATAAGCAGATAAAGAAATGAGAACCATGACTACAGACAAGGGTAGTGTCAGAGCTCTGAGGGAAACCCCCCATCCCTCTGTGTTTAAGGACCTGGACCATCAAAGAGAGAGAAAGGGGGAGTCTTCAAATGTTAAGGAGGGGATTATCTCATCTTTACTCAAAAGAGTAAAGATGAAATTCTCAGACAGAGAGGTCATATTGACTGATATACCAGCTCCTGGATGATACCCTTCCCAGAAACTACATTCTTCTCAGTCATCAAAAACAGAGGCCTCAGGGATTGCCCATTTGATTAGGACAGGAACAAAGGACTGAGCTGAGACCAGAAAGGCCCTTCACTGGTCTTCAACTTCTATCTGTATTCCTGAACAGAGGTTCTTGGGGCCTCATTTGGTTCCTCATACCAAGGTGACATTTATTGGAAGAGGCCTACCCTGGGCATATTGAGAAAGCCTATGGGACCATTTTAGGGAGACTGATCCACAGTAGGTACTAGGAAGAAAAGGGATGATATGCTAGAGACTTCGTTTTTGGATAGGAGGCTAACGCATAACTCTCTGTGAAAGCAGCACATGAGCTAATCCCTAAAGGATGCAAAGCCAGGCTGGCAACATGTAGAAGGGCTTTCTAGGCAGAGGGAACAGTCAATGCAAAGACCCTGAGGAAGAGGAATAAAAATATGACCAGGAGGCTAGAGGTTGGTAAGGGCTAGGGACAGAGATGCGGAGATGAGCTCACAAAAGGAGGTACAGGCCAGGCCACGAGGGGCCCTGTGGGCTGTGGTGGTGTGGAAGAAATTTCTCCCTACCCCTCTGGGTCATTTTCAGGCTGGCTGAGCAATCAAATTAATGTCAGACAGATTAGCAAGAAAAAAGAACAAATTCAATTACATGGGGAAACACCACATAGATGTAGATTCTAAAACCAATGGGGCAAAATGAGTATATGTATCCTGAGCTAAAGAATGGGGTGAGGGTCTGGGGCTTCATGGAGAAAGGAAGGGAACTCACATGGTGGGGTGGGGAACTCAGAGCTCATATGACACAGACCAGACGCTCTGTCATTAGTTGTCTGCCCTGTCTTATAGACAGGTTTCTCTGATAAAAAGGCTCCTTTCCCCTTCTACAACTTTTTTATTTTTTAAAGATTCATTTATTTTATGCATACAAGAACTGGAGTACAGGCCAGAGATGTGGAATATGAGAGAACTCACTAGAGACAGAGTAGGGAACAGAACAGGCTGAAATATACTGAATACACTGCTGAGGGGGGCAGCGGGCGAGTCAAGAGAGGTCTGCTGCGCCATATGGGTAGTTCCCTGGCCAGGGATCGAACCCACGGCGCAGTGGCTACGGGTAGCTTCATAGTGCTGTCTTAACCCCTTGAGCCACCAGGGAGGCCCTCCTCTTTTACAACTTTTTACTTTCATATTTTGCTCCATTTCCTTCCTATTTCCCTTTCCAAAATACCTGTTTTTCTTTAGAACAAAATCTACATTCTTTCCCCTTAATTAAAAACTCAGTTCTGGGCCTCCCAATTGGTGCCGTGCTGTGAAGCTGTCCGCAGCCTCTGCAGCGAGGATTCAAAAAAAAAATAATAATAATAATAAAAACTCAGCTCTATTCCTTATACCTTCCCTTACTGAAAACATGTATCTTACTTCTTTGCTTGCAAAGATACTTTTCCAATTATTTCCATTAGCTTTAATTAATACATTAATTCCAATTCTTAACCCTTAGAAACCTTCATTTCTAATGAAAACTAAGCAGAAAGCAGTTGTGAACAGTTACACCATATCAGATTGGAAAACTTACAAATAAATTTTCATCATTTCTAGGACACTTCCTTGTAGTATAGTTTTTCAGTGGGGCATAAGGCATGTTTACTAAAAGGCCCAAATTTCTTTAGTTCTCCTGAAATAAGAAGCCAAAAGTAACCTTAGTTCATCCAATCATTAAGGGTTCAACAGTTTATCTTATTAGGGAATGATCGACATAGTCAATGAATTTTAACACAGCAAAACTCTAAATGTTTCATGTTACCAAAGATATTTGTGAGACAAACAAAACTACTGCTAGAACGTTCACTTTAAAAGTCTTATCCCATGGACATCTATTTAAAACATTTACTCCTAGCAACTATGTTGAATGGGAGTCTGTCAAGCAAGTTTACCTGACCCGAAATTCCAGGCTGACGTTTCTGGGTTGCAACTGCAAGTCAGTGAAGTATTAAGTCTTGAATTTGGTGACATGAGCTTTGCAGTAACAACTCCATCTTAGGCCTGTTGTCTCTTGATACTAGCGATATTTTTCTTGTTAAATAATATGAGCTTATTTTGATTAATAAACCCATTAATAAATACCGAATGTTCTAACTCTATAGATAGCCTTGTTTTAGATAAAACCATCCATTTTAAGCTAGCTTTCATTTACCAAAAATTATCCCAGGTCACATTAACTCGAATACAAGCATTTGGGTTAGTTTCAGTTGTTTGACAGTGTTTGGAAATAACTTTTATAAATGCTTATTTTTTTAAATTTATTTATTTAGTTATGTATACAAGAACTGGGGTACAGGCCAGAGGTGTGGGGGTGAGAGCATTCACCAGAGACAAAGTGGGGAGCAGAACAGGCAAATCTGCTGAAATACACTGCTGAGGGGAAACAGCGAGCGAGACAGAAGTGGTCTGCTACGCCATGTAAGTAGAGCTCCCTGGC